CCCACATGGCCTAAGGTCACCTAGTCCATCATGAATTCCCCCAGGCCTCTGGTTCCTACTTTCCCGTTTACCCAGGTGTCCACCCCACCCACTCCCCTGTCCAGGAACTCTGACCTGCTCCACCTCCTTACTCAAGCCTGTCACAGCGCCATCTCTGACTCTCCTGATGTCACTAGCTCTGGGTTCCCTCATCTCCTCGGGTATTTAGGGATCACAGCATTCATTTGTACATTTCACTTGCCCACCTTCCCCGCTGCCACCGACGGACTTGCTTCTCCAGGAACGCAAATCCTACATAGTGAATTGTAATTTTCAAGTATTACCCAAGGGTCCTCTTTGTTCCCTGCAGTGTACCAGGTTACTGATCTCTGGATTTATTCTCCTTGGAGCTTCCTCTCTCATACCCTTCTCTGATCTGTCCTATGTCGGGGAGCTGGCTGCCTCCAGGGGGGTATGTGTCTGGCCCAGCTTTGGCACTGCTCACTGTGAATCTGGGTAAGTCCCCTCCCCACTCTGGGCCTTGGTTTTGCCACTTGGAAATGTTAGGTTGTTTGCTTGATCGCATCCTTTCTCTAGAGTTCTATGTATCTGAAAATCAACACATCTGTTCTTATTTTTCTTGATAACTCCTGAGCTTATCCATGGGGCTCTGATCTTGAATAGTGCTTCAGTACAATATTTGATACAAATTTGAGCAAAATCCAGTGAGATATTTTTAAACTATGTAAGTGTGATTTCTCCTCACTGCAACGAAGCATTATAATTTTCATGACTATGTCTACCTCTAAAGCATCTGCCATGGTTTCGACCGCTGTGAGACTGTAGTCTTTACCGAGTGGTCAAAGCCATCCTCAGCTTAATGAAAACCAACTATGTGTTCCTAAAATTATGAAAGTTCAAAATGACAGTGCTCATTTCAGTTCACAGAAAAAACCCTTTGTGTTCTTTTTTTTTTTTTTTTTTTTTTTTTTGAGACGGAGTCTCGCTCTGCCACCCGGGCTGGAGTGCAGTGGCCGGATCTCAGCTCACTGCAAGCTCCGCCTCCCGGGTTCACGCCATTCTCCTGCCTCAGCCTCCCGAGTAGTTGGGACTACAGGCGCCGCCACCTCGCCCGGCTAGTTTTTTGTATTTTTTGGTAGAGACGGGGTTTCACCGTGTTAGCCAGGATGGTCTCGATCTCCTGACCTCGTGATCCGCCTGTCTCGGCCTCCCAAAGTGCTGGGATTACAGGCTTGAGCCACCGCGCCCGGCCTGTGTTCATTTTTTTAGTCACCTTAGCAGAGACTCTCTCAATTGTCAGTGCCTTTCTCAAAGCAGATCTTGAAGTGACAGAGCCTGCTGTTTTGAATGTAGTTGTGCGCCCTAATTTTTTAAAAGTCTCCAGTTGCAAAAATTACGTTGTTGTTAAGGTTGAGAATGTGTGAACTCAAGGCAGTCTGTAAATGTGGTGCCAAAGCTCCTTACATTGGTATTCAAACAATGTAACCTTACAGTCAACATATAGGACAGATACTTTCCCTCCCTCCGTCTCTTTCTTTTTGCTTTTTGTTCAGTGACGGTGTTATGTGGATAAGGGAACACATTACTCCTTACACATCGTCTTTATACAACATACACTCAGGCTCAGATTCTACCGCTATCCACTGCTTGCTGACATCTTTTTGAGCATATGACATCTATCAGGTAGCTGCATGGAGTTTAGGTCCAGATATTCATGGGTTCTGCATAGGAGCTCAGCCTCTAATAAGATCTGTGACAATGTCCCGTCTCTTACCCGTCTCTTAATATTCCTGTCTTGATATTCCATTTTTACTTTATAATTATTTTCTATCTTCATTTGGTTTTATGTTATGAAATATTTCATTGTAAACCGTTTCAAATCTTTTCTGGAACAGTGTGGCACAGAAACAAACCTCTTACTCTTCTCATCCTTCCTTCTTTTTTTCTTGGGGGAGGGTGGTTATTTCTGAATTTTATTTTTATTTTATTTTAAGTTATGGGATACTTGTATAGGATATGCAGGTTTGTTGGTAAACATGTGCCATGGTGGTTTGCTGCACCCATCAACCCATCACCCAGGTATTAAATCCTGCATCCATTAGCAATTTTTCCTGATGCTCTCCCTCTCCCCACTCCACCCCCGCAACAGGTCCCAGTGTGTGTTGTCTCCATCCCTGTGTCCATGTGTTCTCATTGTTCACTTCACACTTACAAGTGAAAACATGCGGTGTTGGGTTTTCTGTTTCTGCATTAGTTTACTGAGGATGATAGCTTCCAGCTCCATCCATATCCTTGCAAAGGACATGATCACATTCTTTTTTAGGGCTGCATAGTATTCCATGGTGTATATGTACCATGTTTTCTTTATCCAGTCTGTCACTGATGGGCATTTGGGTTGATTCCATGTCTTTCCCAATGTGAATAGTGCTGCAATGAACATACACGTGCATGTATCTTTATAATAGAATGTTTTATATTCCTTTGAGTATAGACACAGTAATAGGATTGCTGGGTCAAATGGTATTTCTGGTTCTAGGTCTTCGAGGAATCACCACACTGTCTTCCCCTAACCAAATTTAAAACAGTTAACGATTTATAAAATAATATATTCTTCTTTTCAAATTATCCATATTCAGTGAAACATTTCATGTGGAAACTAAAATTTGCTGGATAAAAATTTCACTTCACAGTTCACAGTCTGTTTCACTAACATTTGTGCATAAAACCTATATATCTGAAGGAAAAAATGCCTAAAAGCAAAGAGAATATGAGGGTAGCAATGGGGAAAACATAAATTGGCACCGAAATCTTTGAAAAGTATCCCAACTCAAGCTGTTTTAGGTTTATGCTTTACTCAATTTACCTTTATCAGAGTGGCCTGAAACAATATTTATTGACCTTATAATTTATACTAAGGAATAGCATATATGTTGGCTTTGGGCTTTCTAAGAAATAGTAAAAGGATAAATAGTGAATTGGTCACCTAATCGGGAAAGGTAGTTCCTTGGTAAGATGATAATTTAAGATGTGAATGACCACAGTGTATTGCCCTGTCCACCCCTTCAGCCTTATGGCCTCAGGCAAGGCGGCCACTTCAATACAGCCCTGCAGAGTCAGAGGGCCTGAGTTCAAGCCCTAACACCTTTGTCTCTCTGATTTGCCCACTCTGACACAAGGCAGGCTTCTCACTTCTCAGAGTGTTTCCTCATTAGGAGTCTGATAATAATTCAGATCCTACCTCTCAAGGGAAAAAAGGAAATAGTACATACAACAACGCTCTATATAGTATACCTTGATGTCCCTAAATTATTATATTTCTGGATGCTTTTCCTGAAGCAAGTGTTTGGCTGGACTACCAAAGTCAGTAATTTCATAGTATTTATCGTAACTACTGTCCTCTCCATTTTACCTAAAACATTCATTTTCCAATAAGAATACACTAGAGGTTCTATAATTGTACTGCCAGACTTAATTTCTCACCCTTTCCCCCTTAGTCTTTGAATAAAACAATTTCTATACATTTATTGAAAACTCTAAGTCTGAATTATTTGATAACATTAACTTTGATTTCAGATACAGATAGATATATTTCTTCAGCCAAGTCATATTTTGATGTGGAAAACAATACTCCTAGTTCTGTTTGTCCTTTCATCCTATGGTGAAGACTTCAAGCACACTATAATTTATTCATGCCTTACCTTAGTCCTTCATGCCTCTACACTTTTATTATATGTATTTTAAATTAATTTTTTATTTTTATTTAAATTTATTTTTATTTTTTATTTTTATTACATGGTAATACATGCACAATAGAAAAAAATTAAGAGGTTAAGAAATGAAAAATAAGGTTTTGTGCCCTTCCCCACTCTTCTATTTCTACTCCCACTCTTAGCAGTTGAAGAATCCCTCCAGAAAAATCTCATGTCTATCTAAGCACGTCCATATGGATGTGGCTTCACATTATGGGCTCTGTCAACTAAAATTGCTCTGCGCTCTGGTCTTCTGGTCTAGCGATTATGCAGGCTGCATTTTCACAAGAGCACAGGAAGTCTGCCCCACTCTCTCCAGCCCCCAGCGAGGTTGTTCCCAACATCCCACAGAGAGTTCCCCCTACATCCCCTCCAGGGTCCCTTAGCTACGCTTGTCCGCAAAGCCCACCTGCCAATCCTCCCACGTCCCACTCCAGCTCCCACCCAATCCCCTCCCCCATCTCCCCACATACCCCACCGCCTTTGTTCCCCAGACATCCCTTCCTGGTCGCCCTACATCCCACTCCAGGGTCCCCCTAACCCTCCCAATCCCTCATGCCTCCATATCCCCTGCTGGTCCCCCCACACCACCCACCCCCCGTCTCCGTCCCTTCACATTCCACTGCAGGATCCTCCTAACACTCCCCTGTCCCCTCAGACCCCACTCCCTGCCCCCCCAAATCTCACTCCAGGGTCCCCCCCAAGCCCCTCTCCCATCTCCCCACAGGCCTCTTCTGGTCCCCTCTCCCCACTCCTGCCGCCTCCTCCGCAGGTGCTCACTGACCCCCAGCCGCCCCTTCCTCAGCTGCTCACTGATCTCCGGCCGCCCCCACCTCCGCAAGTGCGCACTGACTCCGAGACTTCCCCCTCCCCAGATGCGCACTGACCCTCGACTGCCCGGTCCCCAGGTGCACACCGGTCCCCAACTGCCCCCTCGGCAGGTGCGCACTGATCCCTGGACCGCCCCGTCCCCAGGTGAGCACTGGCCCCCGGCTGACCCAGCCTCAGGTGCGCACTGACACCCAGACTGCCCCCTCTCCAGGTGCGCACTGACTACTGTTCTGCCCCATCCCCAGGTGCACACCGGCCCCCGACTGCCACCTCCCCAGGTGATCACTGATCCCCGGAGCGCACCCTCTGTAGGTGCGCACTGACCCCCGGCCACCCCCTCCGCAGGAGGGCACCGACGCCCGGACCGCCCCTTCCGCAAATGCGCACTGACCTCCAGACCGCGGCCTCCCCAGGTGCACACTGACCCCCGGCCGCCCCCACCTCCGCAGGTGCGCCCTGACCCCGACCGTTCCCTCCTCAGGTGCTCACTGACCCCCAACCGTCCCCTCCCCAGGTGCGCACTGACCCCCGGCCGCCCCCTCCCAAGGTGTGCATCGACCCCCGGCTGCCCCCGCCGCAGGTGCGCAGACTCCGCGACTGCTGCCTCTCCAGGTGTGCACTGACCCCTGGACTGCCCCGTCTCCAGGTGGCCGTCTCCTACTGCCACCTCCCCAGGTGAGCACTGACCCCCGGACCGCACCCTCCTGAGGTGCGCGCACTGACCCCCGGCCACCCCCTCCGCAGGGGGGCACTGACGCCAGGACCGTCCCTTCCGCAAATGCGCACTGGCCCCCCAGACCGTCCCCTCCGCAGGTGCACAGACCCCCGGCCGTCCCCACCTCCGCAGGTGCACACTGACCCCCAGACCGCCCCCTCCCCAGGTGCACAGACCCCCGGCCGCCCCCTCCCAAGGTGCGCACTGATCCCGGCCGTCGCCCCCCCAGGTGTCCACTGACTCCGGGCCGCCCCCTCCTCAGGTGAGGACTAATCCCCCGACCGCCCCCTCCCCAGGTGGGCACTGACCCCGGTCGTCCCCATCTCCGCAGGTGCGCACTGACCCCCGGCCGCCCCCTCCTCAGGTGCGCACTGACCCCCGGCCGCCCCCTCCTCGGGTGCTCACTGACCCCCGGCCTCCCCCTCCTCGGGTGCTCACTGACCCCGGCCTCCCCCTCCTCGGGTGCGCACTGACCCCGGCCGCCCCCTCCTCGGGTGCTCACTGACCCCCGGCCTCCCCCTCCTCGGGTGCTCACTGACCCCCGGCCTCCCCCTCCTCGGGTGCTCACTGACCCCGGCCGCCCCCTCCTCGGGTGCTCACTGACCCCGGCCGCCCCCTCCTCGGGTGCTCACTGACCCCGGCCGCCCCCTCCTCGGGTGCTCACTGACCCCGGCCGCCCCCTCCGCAGGTGCGCACTGACCCCTGGCGGCCGCGAGAGGGAACTGCCAGATTTTGTCTCTTGCTCCTGGGCTTCGTCTTTTTTAAACACTTTTCCCAATTATTGTTTTTCAGATTTGCCAAGTTATTTCTGATTTAACCTAAACCAACTCTTCAGCCGCGCCGTCTCAGGGACCCCAAGCCCCGCTCTGGTGGACGCCTGGAGCCGCCGCCTCCCGAGAGTCCACACCCCATCTTGACTCAAGCCTGCCCTGGGTGGGTATCACAGCGCATTACTGAATAATTGGTTTGGGAGACTCAAAAAAAGTGTTATCTTTTGGGGGTGGATTGGCTGGAAAATGCTTTAAAATATGAATTTTTAATGAGTATGTAAATACCAGCCTCCCTCATCTCAGACAGGAAGAAGCTGAGGTCTGGAGGTCTTCTAAAGGAGCACAGTCCAGAGAGCCACAGAAGGCTGCCTTGAGGAGTGGAACTGCTTCAGGGATAAATGCAAAGTGTCCCCTGTCGGGACAAAAACCTCTCAGAGGAGGTTAAGGCCCACGGGCCATTCTTGAGCTGCTAGAACAAATTTCCTAAGATGATTGAATAGCAGGAAACAGAGACCAAAGGAATTGAGTTGAACACAGAGAATGAAATGAAGGAACTTCACTGCCCAGCGTAGGAAAAACTGAATACCAGAGAGTGAAGTTGTCCCCATGTACAGAATCACTTACGGAATCATACAAAATATCTGCAAAATATCTTCCTCAGAACTGGCCTTGACAGCCTTACATGTGTGATGGAAGAAGACCGTCCTCTGATAGCACCGGAAGTGGCCTTCTTTTTCATGCTGGCACTGCGCATCCCAGCTTTCCCACACGTGCCCAGCGTGATTGTGTCAACCAAGGGAGGTCGACCCAGCCTGTCCATTGGCCCTCCTCTGCAGCACTCCAACCCCAACAAGCCACTAACAACCACTGCTCTGTTTACATCTCTGTAGTTTTGCCGTTTCCAGGATGTCATATAAGTGACATCAAACAGTATGTGATCTCTTCAGATTGGCTGCTTTCATTAAGGAATATGCATTTAAGAGTCAACATATCTTGGCATGGTCTATTCCCCATGTGCTTAGGGAATTAGCAAAAAAAATGTAGACACTTTGTAGCCTATTTTAAATGGTTATCATATTTGTGTGCATAGAAACAAGTTTTACATATTAAATTATGAGCTGAGCAAGGCAGATTTAGCTTAATAATTTGGAAATGGGAAATGATGGCTTCTACCCTTTTTTGCAGCTGTCATAATTGTCCATTATTATATCTCTGGCCAAAAACATTTTTATGTCATTATCTGTTTTTAATTTATTAATAATTTCTTAAACTAGACCATATTAATTTTTTTATTTCATTAAAGCTTTCTTCCATTGCTATAACTGTATATTTAATATGAACATACTTTATGATATATTCATATTAAACATTGTCAGCTAGGGCTGGGTGTGGTGGCTCACACCTGTAATCCCAGCACTTTGGGAGGCCAAGGCGGGAGGATCACTTGAGGTCAGGAGTTTGAAAGCAGCCTGGCCAACATGGTGAAACCCCATCTCTACTAAAAATACAAAAAAATAAAAAATAAAAAAATAGCTGGGCGTGGTGGCACGCACCTGTAGTCCCACCTACTCAGGAGGCTGAGGCACAAGAATTGCTTGAGCCCGGGAGGCGGAGGTTTCTGTGAGCCGAGATTGTGCCACTGCACTCCAGCCTGGGTGACACAGCAAGACTCTGTCTCAAAAAAATAAAAATAAATAAATAAATATACATTGTCAGCTAATTCTGGCGTACAATAAAAAGGTAAGAAAACATTTTCCTTCTGATATTCTTAGTTGCATTTCAGGGGTAGCATGATTTCCCAGGAACATTAAAAATTCCTTTTGGATTTTATTACACAAATAAGGCACAGATCCCTTTTTATCATTAGCTCCATGACTAGCTATGTTGACTTTATGATAACTCTAAACTGGGAAAGGCAGCCTCGGAAAGAAGAGCTATTCAGAGTCGTCTTGGACTCGGCTCTTAATCAGCAGATGTGGTGAAATATCGGAGGGATGTGGGAATCATTTGTCTGGTGTGTATGTGCTGAAATGGGTAAGTGTGGGCACACTCAGGAGAGCTGGGGCCTGACGTTTGGGAAGTAGGGTCAGCGCAGTGCAGTTTACCGTGTGGGAGGGCATGAGGACTCATCGTGCGAACTGGATGAAAGGAGAAGGGTTGTGATAAGGAGAGGGTCTCTGATAATTTATCTGACAGGTGATAAGCTGGGTCTGATATCTATTCCTCAAAATAACCCCTTTCAGAAATTTGAGATTCAGAGACAGACCTTCGTTACAATTCTAGCTCTGTCGTTTTCTAGCCATGTAATTTTGTCATATTAATAAAGCTTTCTGAACTCGGTTCATATAAATGGGACACTGATCTGTAAATAGCAAGGTTATTGTGAGTGTTAAAAAATCAGATATATGCAAATCACAGTCACCAGATCTCAATTACTAGTACTAGAATTTTTCTTCTTTTTCTGGTACTTCAGACTTAAAGGGTGGTAATCCTAACCCTTCATGATACACATGATACATGGTCATTTGCCCATGCTGTAGTTATTAATGTTATCTTATATGGTACTTAAATTTGACAAATGCTTTTTATATCCATAAATTAGGAAATTAAGGGATATTACTGCTAATGATAATTACTAAAACAGAACTCTAGATTTCACAAAGATATCTGGAGTCAACTGAATTTCCTCCAAATCTGACTCCCTTGCCCTATAATTCATGTGCTGACCTGCCCTTTGGGAGTCGTGGGACACAACAGTAGCATTATCACATGTGCTCTTGTTTCTTGCACAGTGGATTTTGGTGCTAGATTTGCATGTTGAAAGTCTCTTGCTCCACCTACCATTAAATAGATTCCAAAGTAACCTGGCCGCATGTCTCACTGTGTTGCCCAGTCTTGTATTGAACTCCTGGGCTCAGAGCTTGAGCTATCACACCCTGCCAGTTTTTTGTTTTTTTTTTTAAATATAAAATAAAGTTCTCCCTTTTCTTCCCACAGACCTCATAGTTTTTTAACAGTAGAAAAATGGTTTCAAAATTATATAACCATTTATAAAATAAATGGAAATGAAATGAGGCTGGCTCACTTCTAGTTTAGTGGAAGACTCAAAACTGGAGACAGGAGCCAATTAGATTCAGAGGCAGATTTCAGAGGCTGGGCAGGGTGGCTCATGCCTATAATCCCAGCACTTTGGGATGCCAAGGTAGGTGAATTACTTGAGCTCAGGAGTTCAAGACCAGCCTGGTTAATATAGTGACAATATATTTACCAAATATATTGTCTTTATTGGTGTTTAGATATTATATTGGATAATATCTTTACCAAAAAAAAAAAAAAAGAAAGAAACACATACACACAGAGACAGGTTACACAGGAAAGCTCTCCGTAAGCAGGGAACACAGAAAATAAACTTCATTAGCACTACATTCCTGCGGACATATCCTGATTACACAGGTATCAAACTCATCTGGGCTCCTTGTGTGGGATGCTCCCCTTTTAAAACTTTGATTGGATTTATGAGACATTTAAAAAGTTAAACCTCTCATAAAATAATGGAGAAAAACGATAAGGGCCTTGTGAGAGTTTATTTGAACATTTAAATGCAGCTCTTTAAAAAAACCTTAAGGTAAATGCCAGTAACTTTAGTTAAGGGTTTGCACTTGGGAGAAGTTATTTCATTTAGTGAAAATAACCACAATCTTTTTCCTCATCTTCACACACAATTAAAACAAATACAGCTGCTGCAACACTGTACAATTCTTATGTACTAGAGCAAAAACAAAATATAAATGCACTTGTATTTATAAAACTTTGGTCAAGCTGTCCATAAGAAAAATCACCCTATTTTTTCCTCTAAGTTTCTAAAATGTCATTTACTATATTCCAGCATCTATAGTTATTTTAAAAATTTTAGAAAACCTTTTGTGCATCATCATAATTTTTATTCCCTGGCTGTTTGGTTTAGTGGCAAAAAACCAAAACCATCAAAAATTATGTTTCTCTTGAAGTCACTAAGTTGGTCTCAAGGAAGACAGCGCTGCATCCACTGGCCCCCAGCAGTAGGGACGTGTGGAAGATCACAGCAGCCAAGTCTATGCAGTCAAGGTGAAAGGAGTGCTTGCATGGCAGACATCAAACAAATTCCAGTAAACAGACTACAGACTCTGGCATCTCCTCTTCTGATTTATCTCTTCCAGGGCCGTAAACTTCTTTAGGCAGACACTGTAGAAGGCTTAGTCTTCCAGCTATTCTAACTTGTTCTTCTTCAGTCAGCAGTTTTGCTAATAGAGACTGGCCAGGTGCTGGGTGATAGACTGGACCTGGAGCTTGTTGCAGATGTGGCAGTGGGGGCCTAAGATCCTGCCCTGTCCGTGTCATCTGAGGTGGGGCGTCTCAGTCAGTTTCCCGTCTTCCCAGGTTCGGGTGGGTGATCGATGCACTCTGACAGAGTTCTTCATGTAGCCTTAACTCACTCCTTTCACCTAAGGTTCAGACAAAAATAAAAAGTAAATTATTTAAACTTTAATTACATGTGACCCTCTCCTTGAAGATCATAGATATAGATTTACCTAGTTATATACATATCTATTTGTCTAAATAACTCCCAATAACCCTGCTGTTGGGGTTCTTTATCAGTGTCACAAGTGAGCTGAATGTGGGCTCAGAAGGCTTTAGTAACATGACAAAATTTCACAGCTCCAAATTGGGTCCAGTACATCTTTTTCTTTTTGTTTGTTTTTTTATAGGGGGTCTCCCTCTGTTGCTCAGGCTGGAGTGCAGTGGTGCAATGATATCTTGCTGCAGCCTCCAACTCTTGGGTTCACATAACCCTCCCGTCTCAGTCTCCCCAGCAGCTGGGACTATAGGCATGTGCCACATGTCTGGTAAGCTTTTAATTCTAGTATAACTGTAACACCACTCACACACTCACATATCTAAATGTGGTCACCTTGAGAAGTACATCCTATACCTAGGTTTTATCACTGATTTCAAATTTTAAAAAATCAGAGGCCACACCCCATAATCATAACCTTCTCTCCTTTGGGCATGTTCACAGAATCATTTCCAATGCCCACATTTTTCTACTGCAGGGACCCTAGAGTTAGTAGAACCTAGTTTCTTTCCATTGGCCCTCAAAGTTCATCATTTTCACTGCTTAGCTTAATCACCATGATGCTCTTCAATATTGACCAGCAGCATCAAAAATTATCTGTCCATTTGACCTCTTACTGCCTCGTACTGTCTGATCTTACTCTGGATCTAAACACCAATTTTAGTGGCTTCATATGTTTTCCTATTCGGCAGCCAGTTCTGACAGAGAACATGACTAGGAGACTGATCCTGGCCTAATATGGACACACAATACCCAGTAACTCTCAAATATATCTGGCAATCCCACTGCATCTTGCTATCTAAATTATTCTTGTAGCTCCATAAATACTTCAGATCTACTCCATGGCTTTTGCGTCATGCACATACTTATCTTTATCATACTTTACACAGATGGAATTTCCTTCTCCTACAAAGATGAATTAAATTTTCTCACCAATTACCTTAGCTCTCTGCCATGAAGTCTACAGTTATACTTTAATCCGTACCCATCCATTACTACTTCTTGCCCATAAAACTGAAGTATTTTCTTCCCTTGTCATGTTTAATGGATTCAAACTCAAACTTTATCTCCTGCCCTTGGGAGCTTCATGTTACCACTTATACAATAAATCTCCTTTACCAGCTCCCTCTCCTACTCTTCCCAATCTATCATCATGAAGCTTTTGAAATAAAAACCTCATTTAAACCTATTTTCTCTCTAGTATCTGCTTTCCTTTGCTTTCCCTCACAGTTGAACTGAAAATTGAAAGTCAAAGTGGTAGCATTTCCTCATCCCCTCTCACCGTTTGACTTACTAAGACCACCAATGGTCTGTTCATTAATATGTCTTGCCAGCACCACCAATAATTGTTCCATCAAATACCTAATGGGTGATCCTTAGTCTTTTACTTAGAACAAAACAGAACTGAACTATTATCTGCCTTTCATACTACTGTTTTAAAATTACTCTGTAGTCTCTATTCCCCTGAGTTCTCTGCAAAGAGCACAAATCATACTATTAAAATGACCCAGAATTCCATCCTAGACTCTCTTCTCTCTTCTTTTTGCACACTATCTTGGAACTCTTAATTCAATTGCTTCCATTTCTTCCGTTGCTATCTCCAAACTGACAGTGACAGATTCTTGTCTGGATTCTACTTCTGAGATCATTTCCACTTGCA